ATGATAGGCGGTTATTGGTTAAATTGCCTTTCTTTAAGGGTTGTTATGGATACATAATTCTTATGGGTCCAGTGCACGCTTCAAACTGTTCTATCGATGCGGAATACACGATTTATCGGCCAACTGCGTTCAACGTTCGCTTCAGCCACAACATGCTTTTGGATTTTCAAGCTTTTCTACATTTGTTCAATAAATCTGAATCGAAATAATGCTTGGGAAAAGTCGGACTTTGCCGCACTACCGCGATGAAAATGTACTTTTCGGTTTAGCAGATGTCAAAAATAAAACTTTACATTGTGTTAATGTAAATCTTATTTGACGAACCAAAAAAAAGCGCTTTACACTTGCCAAATATTTTTCTGGTGGTGAAAGCGGAAACTCTTGAAATTCTAAGAATTTTACAATGATGAACCCGGTACCCGGCACCAAAATTTAGCCCTCAGGGTTTGAGACAGTTTTAGCATCGACAAAGGAATTATTATTGCTTAAATGACTTTCGGAATAACAAATATTTTTAAGCAAAGTAGGAAGTGTATCGATTTCGCAAACCGAAATGCAGCGGACTGCCTTTAGCGAAAATTTTGGTCAAGCTAGCTTGATGAAGAACTTGTTTCGTCACGTTCGGCCATTTCCACTTCGTTTGGTCTCTACTTTTCTTTCTTATCTATATATACACATGTATATATCGTAGTGCAACAGTGTATTTTGTTGTCAAGTTATATTTATTCTATTGAAAATATTTGGTGAAAGAATATTATGATTAAGAGGTTGTCTCTATTATTTCCACCCGGTCAATTTCGTGTCAAAAATAATTTTGCCTGAAACTCTGTCAACAGAAAGACTTTACTTAGGAAAGAACTAAATTAGATTTGGTTTGTTTGGAAATAATTTTCTGACTGCGTTTGGGGCCATAATTGTTTCCCAGTCTGTTGGGACCGTCGCAACGTCTCAAAAATTGAAAAATAGGCATATTTAGTAACATTGTAAAATATTTGATTCGCATAGTTAAGCCACCGAATTTATATGAGATTGCTTAAAATCCTTTTTAGTTTGCCAAGAAAGTTAGAATTTGCTCTCTCAATATATCTGAAAAGATGAATTTTAGCATATTCTGACCCCTATAAATCGCCATCGGCCGATGGCCGTAAATAACCTTGATTTAGACGTTAAGTTTTGGGATTTGGGACCTGGTTGACAACTCTATCCTACACAGCCGTTAATTTTAGACCTTTACAGGCAAAAAAAATGCAAAAACCCCTGTACGTTTTCGATTTGTCAAAAGTTATGACCGTTTGAATCAGCACATGTACCATCATTCGCGATTTTTTCACCTACACTAAAATCGAACAACTGGAGGAGATTTCGTCATAAATACAGCTTACCTTCGGCGCACCTTGGCTTTATGTGAGATTTCAGATGTTCCTCGCTCCCCAAACTGGTGAACTTAATGATAACTCCAGCAAATAACTCCAAACTTCAGCGGTCGGCGTGTCTCGACACTCTTCTTTAATTGGTTGTTGCGAGCTAAACTCGAAAACTAAAGCCATGTTTCGCGTTTAATGTCCTGTTAAAACTTTGGATCGCTGCTGCATTCCGTTCAAGAATCAGTCATAGAACTCCACAAGTCTATATGTCGAAGTTTGGGGGCTAAAATTTGGAATTTAAGGCTGAACGATTGCACTATCGAGCACAGTCGTGGTTCTGTTTTCACAGACGTCCGCATTGACCATTGCGGGTGAACCCGCTGGCTCTTTATTTTTCTTGAAGGCCTGCAAGTGTAGTATGGCATGCAAGTGCTTTTTCGAAACCAGAAAGGCTTCAGTCTGTAGCGAGTCTTCAGCGAGGTTGATAAAGCTCTCAGAATGTAGACGTGACATCAATGATCATCTACAAGCATGTCACTTAGGTCAGCTTAGAGGAAAGGTACAAGAATATGAGCTTATCGTTAACAGGTCAGGGTTGCCACACTACCTTTCCCCTGATCATGATCAACTTGAAGAATTTTGGATATGCGAAAAGCATAGAGAAAACATGGGTAAAAACTGGCGACCACGTCGCACTTGCCAGTACCCGCTGCACAGCGGCCGGAAAAAGCANACACCTGGTCGGTTTAAATTAAGATAAGATCTACACATATATTGAGGTGCGGTAAATGTCAGAACTCAGTATTTTGGATTTGATTAACATCTGGGCGAAAGCTCGCACGCAAGTGAGTATAAAACAAAACAGCTGCTGTGATTTCGTCGCAAGATACGTACTGTCATTCCACATGGAGGCCATGTGGCAGCTAGTGCAACTTGATAACTTAAATCACACTTCGACTTGTAACAATGCTCTGAAGCAAACTTGAAATCTACAACCAAAGTTTCCAACACTACAAAATTGTGACGTTAGTCAATTATGTTTATAATCGGAAAACAGCATCTCTACTGAAAAATGCGTAATATTTTGGGTTTTTCTGCCCTACCTTATCTCTCAACGTCAACAAAAGCATTTTTTATGTCATACACGCAAGGCGAGATACCAGATAAATAAACTTGGAGAGTCATTTGACACCAATGTTTACGCTGTTGCAAGATAATATTCCTTCTGTTTTTGACGTTTATACATTTACACAAAGCCCTTTTGCGTCATTGATATAGAGACCAGGAGGCATCGATTTTCGTCCTTTTATCCCTAGAGTCGAGTTTAACAACCTATGCAGCACACCCTCCAGTGGAAGTTTAAGAGAGTACCCAGGGGTCACGTGATCATAGTGCAACTGTTTTTATTTGTTATCTATAAGTATTACTCTGCTCATTATCATTTTGCATTATTGTTTTATTTCGTGCTTTTCAGTAATCTGTGTATCTTGTTAGAAGCTGCACAAAATCAAACTCGCGGAGAACATGACGTTGTTGCAAGGGCAACGTCCCGAAGAAAGTAACCAGCAAGAGGACGAACCTTATAGGTGATATAACGCTACCTGATCCTATAAATAAAGCAGACCATGATAGGCATTGACACCTAGAGAACTTTCAAGGACAAATGTTCAATGGAAATGTTGCATGCAAGCAAAATTTTTTTCCTCTGCGTGGCCACACATTAAAATATTTCGCGCAACATTGCTGATGCAGTAAGCAAAGTATGTTTACTGGTGCATGGCCAAAATGGGAAAAAATTGCGAAAAAATGACAAACAGTGTTTTGGCTTTAAATTGGACGACTTTAAAAGAGAAAATGGTTGATAATGTACCATACAATTGCACGCGGTGATGCTGATTGTGAACAGAACGGAGTTTTTTGCGCGTATTGCTGACGAAGATGAACTTAATTGTACTTTCGCAACAATGCGCTCAAAAATTTCAGTGGTGGACACACTATGCAGTTAATCACATGGTGGGAGGACTTCTAATTTTTGTTTGATTTTCTCAACTCCCAGACTTGCCAAACGAATGGCAGCTATAAATCTTGCAACGGTCACATCAACGCCTGCCACGACGCCGCCTCAACCGAAAGCGAATGCCTTTATATCTGATTGGACTCTGGGATGCAGATCTGGGACCGAAACCAAGAGCTCTGGAGACGACGAGGCAGCTGAAAGTACCAGCGAGTTTGCAATGTAGGCGTTTACAGATGCCATGGAGAAGCTGAACCCACTAGCAACCGGTGGTGGCCGCGTCAGTCCCCTGACCTTTCAGCTGAAAAGTACATGGTAGGAGGCAAAAGAACACGAGAAAGAGATTTGCATCGACAAGGCTACTGAAGCTTGTA